AGACAGCACAGCGGAATGCCAACTAAAAGATGCTCTGTCAACAGATGTGCGCGCACCTGTTCCTGCTTTGCCACTTACTGCCTGGACAACCTCGGGCAAGGGGTACTCAAAACTCCCAGCTGACGTTTCAGTTTCCTCCCTTGTAAAATTAAAGAAGAGAGTTGAGGTGCTTTCTTTCTTGATCCTGGCAGTAGTTAATCCCGCTCTGTCTCCCCCACTCTTTCCCCACTGTAAATGGAAGAGAGGGAAAATGGAAAACTGCGACTTCCAAAAGACGCCCCAGCTGTGTCTCAGGCACCATTCCGCCTGCTCCCATCAGGGCGCGCTCAGCGTTAGGGGAAAAAAAAAACTGGCTGGACGAATGGAGGAGGCTACTTTTCCCAGACCCTCCCTAGCCTAGCCGGGGTTCCCTCACAGACTCCAGGAGTCAGCAGTGGATAGTCTGTCACCTTCTGAGATCATCCTAACTACAGTCGCCCGTTATCTGCTGCCTTCCAAACGCTAACCAAGTTTATTATTTTTTTTCCCCTTCTGTCTCCCTCCAGGGGGCAGGGCGGCTCCGATCCGGGCGTGCGGCAGGTGAGCCGGGCCCCGAGGTGAGCCGGGCCCCGAGGTGAGCCGGGGCCCGCTCGGAACCTGTGTGTTTGATGGATGAATGAACCGTTGCCAAGGACGCCGCAAACCATCCACTCCACGCCGTCGGCTTCCAAGGACTGCGCGGGGACCCCACACCCGACCAGGGGTCGCGGGGTCGCGGGGTCCTGACCGCGGGGGCGGGATGGGCCGCCCCCAGGGGTGCGGGCAAAGCCGCTGGAACCCCAATTCCAAGGCGGCGTCCCGAGCCGAGCGTCCCCAAAAGTCCCCGGGGGAGGCCGCCCGCATCACGCACCTTCCCCCTCGCCTCCGTGGGGCGCCCGCGCGGCGTCTGGGTCGCAGCCCGCCCGCCTGCCTCGCACCCCGGGCCCCTGGCCCCGCGCCGCCGCCGCTCCCGTCCCTCACCTGCGGGCCCAGCTCCGCCGGCAGCTTCTGCAGCCGCCACAGCGGCGTCCCCTCTTCCGGCTCCATCCCTGCGGGCGCCAAGCCCGCGGCTGGGTCACGTGACGGGCCCCGGGTCACGTGACGAGGCCCCGGCGTCTCCTGCGTAGCGGCGACTCGCCCGTGTGACGCGCCCGGAAGGGGCGGGGCCGCGCAGGGGCGGGCGCGAGTCCTTGTGCGCTTGCGCAGAGACGCGGGCCATCCTTTTCCCTGGGGCTAATTAGGGGCGGTGTCTCTCTCTCTCTGCAGCTTGCTGGGATGTCGCTTTTACACCCTCTCCTGCTGCTTTTGGGGAGGCAAGGTGACAAATATTTCACCGCAGTTCGCAGAGCGGTGTTGAAATTTCTCTGCACGCCCTAGAAAACCATTTGATGAGGGTAACCTGAGGTTTATTTGGGTGCTCCAGGGTCCAGTGTCCCAGAGTTTTAACCCATGTCTCTACCGAAGTGTGCTGATTGGGAAGGTAAACTGAGGGTTCAACGAGAGAGCAAGGTCCTTTAGATGTATATAGTTAGTATCCAAAAAAGAAGGTACTGATTCCACCTCGTTTGCAGGTCACAAACGTGGTCAGGGAAATCACTAGGATTGTTAGGATTTAGCAAATAAAAATACAGGACTGCCCAGTTCATTGTGAAATTTCAGGTCACCTATGCATAATATTTTGTCATAAGTATGCCATAAATATCGTACGGGATATACTTAAAAAATATTATAGTACTCATTGTTTATCTGAAATTCGAATTTCACTGGGTGTCCTGTATTTTATCTGGCAACCCTAAAAGTCAACTTACCCAAAGGCAGGGCGCGGTGGCTCATGCCTGTAATCCTAGCACTCTGGGAGGCCAAGGTAGGAGGATTGCTCAAGGTCAGGAGTTAGAAACCAGCCTGAGCAAGAAGGAGACCCCCATCTCTACTAAAAATAGGAAGAAATTAATTGGCCAACTAAAAATATACATAGAAAAAATTAGCCGGGCGTGGTGGCGCATGCCTGTGGTCCCAGCTACTCGGGAGGCTGAGGCAGGAGGATCGCTTGAGCCCAGGAGTTGGAGGTTGCCGTGAGCGAGGCTCACGCCACGGCACTCTAGCCTGGGCAACAAAGTGAGACTCTGTCTCAAACAAAACAAAAAAAATCACTTACCCAAGGTAAGTAGGAGGCACAGCCTGAAGTTAAAATCAGTCAGACTCAACACCACACTCCAAACGTTGGCCTGAGCCGAATGCACAAATACCCTTTCTATTATTTCTTATTATTACAGCTATCAATATTATTTTTTATCAGGTTCTGGAGAATTCAGTGCTAATGAGACAACCCCACCGTGCAAAACCATATAATAACTTGTAGACAGAAACAAGAATTACAATCTAATTTATAAATTGAATAATAAAAGTGATGAAGCATACCACAGAGGAGAAAGTAATTATTCGCTCTGTGGGCTGTGCAGAGAAAAACTTAGCATCCTTCAAGTTTAACTCAATCGCCGCTTTCTCTACTCCTGTGCTCCAATTCTGAAGTGAAAGCGAGTATCTTCCTCCTCTGAATTCACGTGAAGCAATTTCTTTAGTTGTCCCTCACTAAACTTATTTACTAC